GAATATTTTAATAGCCCTCTGTCCTCTTATCGCTGATTTCCACGTCCTTGTTTTTCTCTCAAAATGAATTAAATAGCTTATAAAAAAACATACAATTCAGGCTTAATTATGACAAGAATATTTCTGACAATCATATTTTTATTTTACTATAGCTATAATCAGGTATTAAAAAAGGATTTCAAGGCAGCACCAAAGCTCTGTTTTTGTAATTACTTTATTTTAGAAAATACAGGTTACAAATCTATGGAATACAATTACTGCTTATTACCGAACTACATATCGACTAGGCTTCTCTATCAAGCAATGATAAAATGTGAAAATATAACATTGAAATAATTTATTTTATTCTGGCATGCGGGTGCGGCCCGGGGTGAGGTCTTTTTAAAAAGATCATAAAAAAGGAGTAAAATGCCTGGCCACATGATATAAGGCCTACATGATCGAAATCATAGCTCTGCCCAGTGCTGGATTAACCATTAGGCAACATAAGCACGTGCTTAGGGCATCATGGTAATGAGGGCACCATAGTATGTCTGCTTTGTTAGATGAATCATTTAAAATATTTGATTTAGAAATTAATGAAGAACTTTCTATTAGTTTACATTTTGTTCTTTAAAGCAGCCCACAGGTTCATATTGATTTTTAAAATATATATATATTTTCAGAATTTACGGGGGATTGATGTAAGCCTCTATTTCATTGCGGTTAATGTTTTGCAATATTTGCGTTTCTTGTACCAAAAAGCCTAATATTGTAGATACACGTCTTTTAGAGAAAACAGAAAGTTAACGTAATTAACCGGATACCGTAACCTTGACGAAAATAGAACTTGACATTCCTTCTCGTGTTATTTCACCATTGTCTATATCGAGTGCGGTTTCAAACATTAACGGTACTTTACGTATTACTGTTATGCTTCACGGAGAGAGAGAGAGAGAGAGAGAGCGAGAGAGAGAGATGTGGGGTTTAACGTCCACTTGACGCAAACTAGGTCATTCTGGGACAAACATGGTTCAATTTTATTTCAATAATTCGCTTGCGCGTAGGGGCCTTTAGCAGTGGGAGGACACCGGAGGACCCAGAGAAAACCCACGAGGTTGGACAGGCGACTTCACTCCTTGTCACGTACAACCGGGGAATCTATACTTTACAAATACACCGTTTCATAGTTATAAATAGTTATATTAATGCATAATATATCTCTCTTAGTTGACGTCAATAAAGGTAGAGGGAACGACAAAGAATTAATGGATTCATTATTTGTATTCAAATTTGATGACTAATTAAGGGAATCCCCGAAATTGGGCAGTCTCAAAATACTTATGTTTTCGATGTTATTCATAATTCATGAATTCAAAACCTCTACCATCTAATAAAGCCTATCACAAATCATAAAATAACCTCTGCCATCAGCTTAATATACATCATAAAATATAAAATAACCTCTATCATTTAATATAGCTTATTTCAAATCATAAAATAACCCCCCGGTTGTACGTGACAAGGAGTAGGGTTGCCTGTTCAACCTCGTGGGTTTTCTCCGGGTCCTCCGGTTTCTTTCCACTGCTAAAGACCCCTACGCGCAAGCGAATTATTGAAATAAAATTAAACCATATGTTAGTCCCGAAATGACCTAGTTTGTGTCGAGTGGACGTTAAACCCCATCTCTCTCTGTCTCTCTCTCTCTCTCTCTCTATCATCCACCTAATAAAGGCTGCCATAAAGCATTCAGTACACATGTAATTGCGTTGAATAAACCCTGTGCAAATAACACGGCAATCCGTTTGATAAAATTCACAATAGAATAAGTATAAGTATAACTTTCTAATGAAATTCCTACAAAGTTTGACCAAATATCTGACTGGGTTTGCGTCGAACAGGGTCGATCGTCAAATATTTAGGCCTAAACATCATTTATAAGATATATATCCTGGTCTGGAAATCTGGAGTATTTAAATATTTTAATTTTATATCGGGTGCCCCCGCCCTAACAACAAATTGGCCTAACTTTATAACACCACATTGCTCGGAAACCGTTCCATAGAATATCAAATTGTTTTAAAGGACAATGTTGTCGCTAGTCATTATCACATATATGATAGAACTGGTTAAACACGTTCCAAATATTATTTTATCACAGAGATCATTGCTACGATAGATGCGTAATCAATGTTTGAACAATCGGAAGTGACGAACGCAAAAGGAAAACACGAAGACCAAAAGTTGTTATATGAGACTGTAAGAGTATATCTGACAATTCAAAAGAGAAATTCAATGTCCTTAGATTTTTTCTATTTTTCTTCCATGTTCTCTTATCTAGTGACAGTCAATTTATTTTATGAATTGTCAGATGTCCTTTCACAGTCTCATATAACAACTTTTTGTCAGTCATTTATATAGAGGGATAACTCGTGTTTTCCTTTTGCGTTCGTCACTTCCGATTGTTCAAACATTGATTACGCATCTATTGTAGCAATGATCTCTGATAAAATAATATTTGGAACGTGTTTAACCAGTTCTATCACATATGTGATAATGACTGGCACCGATATTGTCCTTTAACTGAATGAACACTACCATGCATAGATCGAACCCACCAACAAATTAGCCTAACTGTAACACCACATTGGCCGGAAACCGTTCATTAGAATATCAAACTGTTTTAATTGAATGAACACTATCATGCATAGATCGAACAAATTTCAGCTTCATAACTTTTAGTGCCAATCTACCAGAGCAATGTCAAATATTGCTGAAATGTGTTTTTGATGCGGATTGTGGTCATTCAGTTACAATATCTAACTATGGGTGTTAACGTTCGGTCAGAGGATTTAGGGCCACCCGATATATTCCATTTTAATCAAAAAAATCATATTTTCTAGGTCAGCATGTCTATTACAAGCTTATTTGACAGGTAACAGGGCGAGTAATCTACCAGGAAATAGTGCGTGACATGAGAGGTTTTATCTGACGAGGATGTGTGTCACGATAATATTACAACAGTTGTAACTAAATACTATTTGAAATGATATATTTTATTAATTGACAATCCCACATGTTTCATCATGTTAATATTACAACAGGTTCTAACTAAATATTTGAAATAATGTATTTTATTGCCGTATCTCAATTGACAATCCTATAGTACATCTTTCATCATAGTAAGATACGTTTTATTTTAAATGATGTTGGGTTATTCAGTTTTATAGGAATTCTTCGTTCTCGTGAAAAATAATGATTTTTAATATAATAAATATGTTGTTAATGCACGTAATAGATCCATTGGCAGTTGGAATTCGATAGAAGAGTATATAATATACCCTCATACCACATTGCATGGCGTATGCCCGTCTTCATTAGCCATGTCGTAGCAGAGCAGTAGGACGTTAAACCTATTTCATTTGATATCAATGTCAACGCATTTGATTAAAACCCAAGACATGGTTTAAAGCACGTAACATTAACAATATAAAGATAAAATATACAATCATATATAGAAAGGATATGACGAAATAGTTGTACTTTATTTCATATGATAATAGATTATACTATTCAAATGGTCTAGCAAAATTAGTTATATGCTCTCGACTTCACATTTGCCCTTCGCACTGCACCACTGACAAGGGGGAACCACGCTGGAAAATCCAGATGAACTGTCTCGGCCAACACCGGGATCGAACACGGGGCATCCAGCTTAGAGAGCCAACGTCTAACTCGCTACTGTCTTTATTAGCCCATTCGGAGCAGAACAGTAGGACGTTAAACCCCCATTTCATTTCATTTCATTTCTTACTCACTGAGTCACAGCGGCTCCCCACTATAGTAGGAACTCATTAAAAACATATTCATTAATTTATCATATTCTGTTCGCACTCAAAATAATGAAATGTTTTATGTATAAAAAATAAAACAGAAGTTGGTTAGCTATGTTAATTCCTCAAATGGGAAGTGGTATCGGGTGTTCTAGAAAGGGTAAGCCCACCTGCCTAATGTATGACACCAGTAATAACTTACAATCCGTGTGCGGCATTTAATGATTTAGCGCATTAAAACACAACACAATTCATATGTGCTTTCTAAGAATACTTGTGCTATGTGTATAAAGCAGTGATTGTTTTCCATATAAATTGTGTTGCGTTTTTTTCAGTAATAATTTTTTCAACCCGACATCACGACAATCCGACATCACGACATTTTAACCCGATGTCAGGTTGTCGTGGTGACGGGTTAAAATGTCGTAGTGTCGGGCTGTCGCCTTATAAAGGGCGACACCACGACATCACGACATGATACTAATCTAGCACAATAAATATCAATATAACAGGAAGCAAAGATATGAGTTTAACGTCCACTCAACATAGGTGCGATTTCATTTTCTTCATTGGCTTGCCGGGGTACCGGGAGAAAACCCACGGGTTTAGACAGGGGACACTACTCTTAATCGCGATTGAAACAATGCCACTGTTTCCTTTACTATTTTGAGACTAACCCGTAGTTATTTTCATTATCTATGGTTGATTAAATGTACGTAGGTCTTCAAGTTCCGTGTTTAGGACGTCAAATAGGCCCATGTGTATTATGCGAGAGGGGCGTCTGCCTTTATAACGGCGTTTCATACTATCGTAATTGGTTGTTTTGGATATTCACTTTATGATTTATTTGCCTTTTCTCCCTGGATCTAACAGTTTATATTTCTTTCCGAAGGACTAGGAACTTTTCGGAATTTTGAAAAATATAAAATTGTATTGCATATTAAATTACCGAATATATAGCGTGTATACAGCATGTATTAAATTTTGTTCAAATAATATATAGGTTATCAAGGACATTTTTATTCATTCATAGTTTAGAGTACCGTAACCTTTTTTACAATAGTTAGCTGTCGAAGAGTCGATAAAACTCAGATTTGAACCTATCAGCGTTCAACAATTCACGAGCCAATCGTGTTGGACGAGTCCACATGTGGCTGTCACTAGGCAACTCGTATAAAACCAACATCGTTTCTTCTTCTCATCGCAGACGCCGAGGATATTTTCTGACACAGTAATACCTAATAGCTTGTTATTTATCAAGATGGCACAGGGACAAAATTTGAACGCCGATCAGTTGTTTGAAAAAATAAACGCGGCTAAGGATTCTAAATCTTTATTGAAGAAACATCTGACTCCTGAAATATTCGCTGCTACTAAGGACAAGGTTTCTAAATTTAAAGGAACATTGGCTGATTGTATCCGATCAGGTGAGTCCTGTGTTTTTATTTTGAAATCGATATTGCACGTCACGTGTTTGCAGTTTTCATTACGATGCATGCATCATCATGCAGTCGATGTAGAGCGCCATGTCATTTAATATGCCGACTGTCTTGGCGGACCTCGTAGAGGACACCAGAAGGTTATCGTTGTAAACTGCCCGCTACACTGTTGCAAGTCTGAAATCCGAACAAAGTAAATGTTGGAATTGCTAAATTTTATTCTCTTGCCATTTTGTTTTTTTTAGTTAATGTTTTCAATTAATCGCTAGGAATTTATATGGGAAGTTCAGGACATTTAAATATTGCGTAAGGTATACGTGGATTGTGGCAGTGCGTGATAAAATGTGACCAATGTGAATTGACTAGGAAAGGATTGTCTTTCTAGGTCACCGAGAAATGAATATCGCAAATCGCTGATATATTTAGGTCAGGAAACAAGAGATGTTCCAAATCTGATCTTTATTTATTGATCGTGCCCTTAATTTACGACAGACTAGCTACGCCAAGTTAAATTTAGACTCGTCATGTTAATTTAGTCAATGAAGGCGCATAAGATAAGAAATTACACATTAAACTGACTGCCATAGACTAACATCGGATAAATAGCCCGAGTTGGTTAATATCTTCTGCTGTACACACGCCCTTCCTCGCTATGCAATATATGGTATCTATTTATAGTATGCCGGTAATGTACTAACGTACTATAGGCCAACTTCAGTGTACATTTCCTGTATTAAACAAGGATATGTGAAGGTTACGCCACGAAACATTGCCATCCTGTTCTGCATGCCAACAAGTCTTTTTGTAGTTCGCGGTCCATAGACAAATTATAAATCCCAGATTAATTGGGATACATTGTGAGAAAATGAATAAGAATTTTAAAAAATAGTCTTCCAGGAAAAGCCGACTTTATAATTATATACAACATTTGAACACTACGTGAAAACTTGGCACCGTTAATCAAGATATCATATTTCTGGTTAATGCTGATTTTACAATAAGTATTGTTATCGATGTATGAAGTCCATTGTATGCTAGCGTCGAATTATATCGGCATGTAGCCAAGTAGGTTATAGTGACTGACTGGCTATATGATTACCAGCCTTAGTAAATTTATAAAACTATAGACCAGAAATACACTATAGATATAATAACCTTCAAGAAAGAACCAAGGTTGTCAGCGATACAGGTGTCTGATCTAAGGTGGGGGGGGGGGGGAATTGTTCACAGTAAAAGTCCTGAATTAACATGGTAGTTGGCTTTTATTTGGAAACGGATGGGTTGGGGGTAACGCGTACGCGTGAAATCACATGGTATATCAGTGGCGTGGTTTCGATTGCCTACCTGTACGCGACAAGGAGTAGGTTCGCCTGTTCAACCTCGGGTCCTCCGGTACCCCCCCCCCCCCCCCCGCTAAAGAACCTACGCGCAAGCGAATTATTGAAATAAAGTTAAACCATGCAAATTACCTAGATTTGTGTCGAGTGGACGTATATAACCCCATTTGAAAATTTGATTCTTTAATTGTTGCCCTTGATCCGATTTGCAAGAATAAATTATTTAGGTAACTTACGGTAACAATTCTCACGGAGTTATTCGACTTGGGTGTTTTAAACCATATCTTCTAAAGGATAATAGTTATCACAGATTTGATATTTACAGATCGCTATTTACAGTAGGCCTACCCTCTAAAGCCCGAACGGGGTGGAGTGTGGGTTTCGCCTAACCATGTCGACCTGGACTGTGTTGCTAATGGTGGTCGTTGCATTTCAGAACGAGACTTTTAATAGTTTAGTGATTACAACTGCAGTTTTTGATCAATACATCATGTGTTGGCCGAGAAAGTTAATCGAGATTTTCCGGCATGGTTTTCCCCGTGTTGGTGGTGCAAGACAGGGTCGGGGGGGGGGGGGCGAAAAACCGAGGTCATGTGGTCATGTGTACGCATTGGCATCCACGAAAAGATCCCTTGACAGTTGGAATTCGTTATAAGAGTAGGTCATCAGACGCTGTCCGGGCAAAATTTCCCTCGTACTACTGCATGTCGTATGCCCGTCTTCAATAGCCCAGTCGGAGCAGAACCGTAAGACGTTAAAATTTTATTTCACATAATAGACCTGTGCATCTTTAGCTCAACAAATTAATAAACCGAGCCGACAACATCGTTAAAATATTCGATGTATTGATAAATGGAAGACTGGATATCGATTTGTTCAAATCTCCTTCACTCAAAATAAAAATAGATAAAAACCTCTATTCAATCATAGGCCTATCCCTTTCAATCCGATTTCAATGTCGCATACAGCAGCGAAATATATTCGTGGATAGTGCATTATTCGGAACATTTCGAAAGGAATTGGCATACTGGTATTTTAAAGTAATAGAATCTACCAATAGATATATTTATATTGTATATTCAATTTATATGGATAAATGACTGAATTCTGCCAGCAGATCCCCGATTAATATTGTTCACGACCCAAATAACCTATTTTATTATGATCAGTAGTGGAATACCGCGTTTTATCAGTGAAATAAAAGTGTTATTCCACTGGCTATTTGTTTTTCCCTAAAATGATTGTAAAATCATAAAATAGAACATTTGTCGTTTGGTCGTGAATAACATATTTTATTTCATCTCTAAGCAAGAAAACGTTTATATTTTCACTCATGCTACGCATTCGTGAAAGTATAAGTTTTCTTGCTTAATGAAATAAAATATGTTATTCACTCTTAAACGACAAATATCCTCTATTTAGACGGGCATTCATTGCAAAAGGCCGGCTGGTGTGTTTGCATGTTTATTTACAAATTTTCTTCGTGTCTCGACATTTGTCAGGCATTTAGACTTGGACCACGTAAAACAGATTTTTCTTGACTATACAATATTCTAAAAGTAAATACAAACGCAGATATGTCTATCCCGAAGTCGGTGGGGTTCATTCGTGGTAAAAAGCGGTTGTCCACGACGCATTTATATGACCCCAACTGAGAAAATTTAGATGTCGTCGTGTTCTTGTAAAGTCCTTTTACAAGAAAAGTGTTGGAATAATGGGGTGCCGTAGCCTACATTTATACACCCATGAGCTCTCGATAGAATGGGTGGTGCTGTCATGCAAGATGTAGACGGGCCCACATGGCCTGTAAACCTTTCTAAGCTATAATGGTGTGGTGACCTATCGAGATTTTTTAGAAATTATGAGTATAGGATAGGCCTCCAGAGAGTATCGGCGAGTTGGACAAGTTTCTTACGACCTAGGCCTACATCAGGACCCCACATTAATAGGGATGAACGAGAAAATTGAATTATTTCTCCGGCAATCCAATTTGATTCGAGAACACAACTTACCTTTTTTTTTCTCTTCCTGACCATCTACAACTGAAATGACCGATCTAGCAAATAATCATTTTGCTATTAGTTTTTGGCCTCTATAGTCTATAGGGCCCTACCGTAGACTAATAACCTTTATCCCCTCTTAGTGACCCAATCAGGTGACTATAATGGATTATTTCTATGATCTTCAGATTAGTTTTAAGTCATATAATTTCGAACTTTTGCTATGTTTTTTTGAACATGGGCCAAGGTCAATCGGTCAAGGTAAATGGCCTTATAGGCTACACTTCATGAATGTACTTAAATGGTAGCCTACCACAAGTTAAAATTTGAGGCCTTCCAATTTATTTATTTTTTTAAATGACAATCTATTAAGAAATTAGACTGTTTACATTCTTTCAAATATATATTTCCATAGATGAAATATAAATGAAACCAAATCCTAGTTTGTCCGTTCATTAGCAGGTTAATCGGATTTGCAACAAGTAGTAATAATTTGGCGCTTAGTTCGTTGGCTTCTAATCTTCTGAGGCAACGTTAATCCAAAATCTGATTGGTTGCTACACGTATGACGTCATGCCACTTGGTGACGTTTTTTTATTATAAATTGGTTGGAAGTTTGAACGAAGTAACAGTTGTGTTGCATCTTGTCAGCGTTGTTTTGGTATTACAAATTAGCTTAGAACAACGATCTAAACATGGCCTCAAATTTATCCATCGATGAATTGTGGAAGAAACTACAAGGAGCAACAGACTGCAAGTCGTTGCTGAAGAAAAATCTTACCGAATCAATTTTCAAAGAATTGAAGGATGTGAAATCTAAATTTGGTGGCACTTTGGCCGATTGCATTCGTTCAGGTTTGCTTCTTTTTTTTTAAAAGGACGATTGTGGTGGCTATGACTTACTGAGATCTATGGAACTTAATTTCGTATAATTTTGAATTGAGCCTTTTGTTGTAGCCTATATTGTTTGGGCGACATTGTTGGGCATGCCGCGTAGCCTGTTTTAGTTAGGCTAGTGTAGAGAAGAGATCTAGGCCTAGATCTACACGATTCTTCTCCTTTACTTATCCGTCAATTTGGCTATAATATTAACGATTTCTCCTTAATCCGTTTCTTTCATATAATTAGAAAATATCTTAATTTCGATATCGTTATGTCTAGGCTAGAAAAGTGTAACTGCCGTCGTACCCACCCAGCTAGGCCTATATAATATTGATATAACCAGGTCTTTATAGGCCCCACCCAAGCCATTCTAATTTCTAGTACATGGTAGCCTAGTACTAGCAGGCTAGTAATTAAGCTTAACTAGGCCTAAGTCGACCTGAATGAGGATAATTATTAACAACCAAACGGTGAAGTACGCCTCGCCAAATGAAAAATGCACGTCTACTGACTAAAACCGTAAAAAGGTAACTCGCACAGCCGGTTTTGGCTCTCTTTTTTTCTTTTGTAAGTTAGGTTTGTAATTTATAATATTATCCTTTTCATTGCAGGATGCATGAACCCAGACAGTGGTGTTGGAATCTATGCGTCTGACCCTGATGCTTACACCACGTTTGCTGCTGTTCTCGACCCCGTCATCAAGGATTACCACAACGTCACAGAACTGAACCACCCCAAGCCAGACTTCGGTGATACCTCTAAACTTGACTTCGGTGATTTGGATCCCTCTGGTGACATGATTGTGTCTACCCGTGTCCGTGTTGGCAGAAGTCATGCCAGCTATGGCTTTCCACCCGTTCTTACACTGGAAGTGAGTAGACCGCATTTATTAATAATGGTAGTAGAAATGAAGTTTGGTCCGTTACGTCATACTTAACTTTTCCACTCCATCCGGTCTATGTAGTGTGCTTAATGCTATGAGGGGACGATTTTGCTAGATCTTTTTAGAGTACACAGGACACACACGGGACCTCGGATTGCGTCCCAATCCGATCGACTGGCCGTTTTTCTTTGGCAATGCCAGGCCCCACCCTGCACCACTAACGGGGGGGGGGGGGAGACCACGCTCTGAAAAACCATGAAATCAAACCAATACTTGCTGAACCAACCGTTTAATATTACCGGTACCAGTATGATATATATATTAACGAATTCGTAAAGACGGCCATTCAGCCAAACCATCCTGAAATGATTATATCATGATTATAAAACTTTGTTATATTCAGGATCGTGTTGAAATGGAAAAGAACACGGTTAAGTGTCTGGCGAAATTGACCGGCGATTTGAAAGGTGAATACTGCCCACTCACGGGTATGACCAAAGAAAAACAAGCTGAGCTCACAGCGGATCATTTCCTCTTCAACGATAGTGATAGGTACGTTTTGCATTATAATTTAAGATGTCCTTATCAGAATTCCCCCTCCCCAAATGTTTAGTTGGTAATTATTTGGTCTGGCTGTTCCAGTAAGAGTAGACATCTAGTTGTAATTAACCTTTTGAACTCCATAGGCAGTGAAAGGATGAACCCCATGGATTCTCACTGTTCTTCGCCCATCTTTGAAAATATAGTCGTGTACAGCATAAGTGGTTTATAAAGTTTACATTCCTATATTTCAGATTCTTGAGGGAAGCTGGAGGCTACAATGATTGGCCCACAGGCCGAGGTATCTACTTTGCCACCAATAAAAAATTCTTAGTATGGGTCAACGAGGAGGATCATCTCCGATTTATCTCTATGCAAATGGGAGGCAACTTAGGTGAAGTTTATACCCGATTAGTCAAGGTGAGTACAGGTCTTGCAGATTTCATTTGAACCCGTTTTTGAAAATGTGTTGATTATCGTGTCTCTGACTTGACATAAACAGAATTGTTAATCTAGTAGTAAATTAGTCAGTGCATCATTTTGTAAATAACAAGTTTTCCACAACTTAAATCCACCATGTACGCAGATCAAAATATAAACGGTAGTCTCCCGCAGCTCCCGGCAGCTTATTAATCGGTTTGAATTCAAGATGGGCGATTGATATTTAGTAAAATGTTACATAAATGAGCGTCTGCGGTAAATTGTAATTGAAAATGACTATCGACAGTTATGTTTTAAATCTTAAAAGCAGTTCGTTCTGAAATTTTGATTAGAAAAACAAATGTCTCATTGGATCCATTTAGTCATAATAGTTTTATGCTTATGGGAGCTCAAATAAATAATATATGTAAATTGTGCTATTTTAATATCAGAAATATAGGTAAAATACGTAAATCTGTTAACTGCAGAGGCCGCTAAGTCACTTGTTAATTCTCTGGTCACTTCTCGATTAGATCACTTTAATTCACTTTTAGTTGGTAGTTGGCTTTTAGTTGGTAGTTGGTTTACCTTAAAGTTTAAAGCTTACAGATAAATTACAGAATACTGCGGCTAGACTTGTTACTTAACTAAGAAATGTGACCACATAACTCATGTTTTATATAATTTACACTGGTTACCTGTTAAATATCGAATTGATTTTAAGATTTTATTACTTTTAAATGTTTAAATAATTTAGCTCTTGTTTACCTCTCAGATCTTTTAGAACTTTATACACCTGGCCGGCCGAACATTACGTACATCAGAAACTACTTTTAAAGCCCAAAACTGTTCAACTAGTCTCTTTATGGTCAGCGCTCTTTTAGTTATCAAGCACCTGTTTTATGGAATCTATTTTTAGTTTAAGATGTTGTACATCTCTATATTCTTTTAAAAAAAAAACTTTTAAGATGTACATCTCTATATTCTTTTAAAAAAAAAAAACCCCAACTTAAAACACATTTATTTAATCAGGCTTTTAACTGACAATCGTTAACATGTCCATAATCTTTATGTATAATTTACATTGTCACTTTGTAAAGTGCCCCTGAACATGTTATATGAAAGGGCGCACTATAAATAATAATAATGTCTTAGTATTTCTCGGAAGAAAATAAATTCCCCAGTTTCAATTTCTTGGTCAATTTTAATAACGCCTGTTTGGCCTAAAAAGAATACTGTTATTGATGAACTTGTATTGAGCTATAGATTTTTCTAAATGTTTTTCTTTATTCTCCAGGCCATCAAAGAACTGGAGACAAGCGGTCTTGAATTCGCCAAGAAGGATAACCTTGGTTACCTTACATTCTGCCCCAGTAACTTGGGCACCACCCTCCGAGCCTCTGTACATATTAAAATCCCCAAGTTGGCTGCAGATCCAGAATTCAAGAAATTTTGCGATGGTCTTCACATCCAAGCCCGAGGTATGTAGTAGCATGGTTTATTTGGAGGTTAAGTGTATCTTATTCTTAAAGCCTTTTCGGAACTCGATTAGTATCGTTTTATTTTCACGATTCTGAATTTTCTACAATACCACCTGTCGTTCATTATGTTGAAGACTTTAGGAAGTTTATAACATTGTGCCATTTTCATTGTTTACAAGACAGATCCATAATCACTAACGGTAAAATTTTGAAATGTTGGACATACATACTGATGTAAAGATATTCATATCTTATGAGTCTTCGAACGGGATCGATAGACTTCCACCCTTATTCCAATAAATGGTCAAACTCAACTTCACCGTCTACAATAGGACTAAAATGTCTACCTATGATAATCGAGTTGCAAAGTTCAAGGTTCATTCAATGTTAAGGTTGCCGTGGAGGTCGCGATGTCACAACCTGATTGGACGCAACTGCTCACGTGTCTGTAGATAACATAGCTATAAATTCGGGAATTTTGAAGTAAACGAGCAACGTCTAGATGTTAAACTCGCAGTCGTTTGCTTCAGGAACATGCAACTCGGTAGCAATGCCCTTGTTTCTTGTTTGTCGGTATCGGTATTTTAAATGTCATTTTATTGAAATTTCAGGTATTCACGGTGAGCATACTGAATCTGTTGGCGGTGTTTACGATATCTCTAACAAACGTCGATTAGGTCTAACCGAGATCGAAGCTGTACAAGAAATGAGACGGGGCGTTGAAGCTGTCATTAAACGTGAGAAAGAACTAAGCGGAAAATAAATTCCTGACCCTGTTACTGTCATTTTGAATTTACAGTATTTGAACTTGTATATAATGTGTGTTTATAGACTGTGTCAGAATTATCCGAATATCCACTGGTCTCAAAACAAAACAAAAAATGGCTAGATTAAATTCTTGACCCTAACACCATTTTAAATCCTAAGCTAAGATTCAAAAAGCGCATACTTCATAAAAGTGTTTGCTTGACATATCTCGGCAGCACTGTTATTTATTCCACTTTTTTTTTATTTGTTTTGTTAACTATCTATAGGCGCGAAGATCCAGACGGTTAATCGTTTTGTTTTCGATCATCTCGAGTAACCAGGATCCTAGTGATTATCGGTGTGATGTTAGATCTATTTATTACCAGAAATAGAACAAATTCCTATTTCTAGAATACCTGTGATAATAAAGAACCTTATTGAGACCCCAAGAATAAAAAATTGGAAAAGCAGACCTGTGTTTTTATTTATGTATCCAATTTGGATATAAATTGGGTTGGGACCTCATGGCCAAGGGGCAGTTCACATTATAGAAATGGCAACCATAATGGGTTATTTGATACTATCCCTGAAATACGGCTGAAGGCAAAGATGCTTGTGTAGCGTATTGGAATCGAATATTGACACGTTTTTATTCTATAATTTCTTAATGCAAGGCAATATCGCAACTCCCATTCTGTACCCTCCGTTTCCCCTTACAAAACTATCTGAACCCAATATTGGGATGTAAGCATCACGACCCAACCAGGCCCCGGTTTCACAAGGCATTCTCGGACTGAGTTGAGAATTCACTCTCAATCTCAGTTTATAAGATTTTTCATCCAGAAACGCATAAGTTTGAACATATTCTTATGCATTTGATACATAAGTTTTATAAGGAGCTATATTTTATAATAAGTCGAACAATTTTGAGTAAATTAACTGAGGAAAAGTGGGCCAGTCTTCCGCGCAAGTCGACATTTTATGTGGACGGGTCGTGTTGCAAAAACCGGGTATGTTTTTATATCGCCCTTACCCCTCCCCGCCCCAACTGGTCGGCCAAGCTATTTGCAACTATTCATACCCTGTAACATCGCCGTACCTCCAAGAGAAAGATTGTCTCGCCTTCCCAAACCAGGTGCAAGGTATTTTGGACTAATCATAAACTTTTGATTTTAACACGCCATTGGTCCGTTTATCCGATCTTGAACGACAGGGCGGTGGTTTTACCCGGAAACATGCCAGAAAACCCCAAATCCTGTCTGATCTTTCAAGTTTCTCGTCAAGGCCACCCTCTCCCGCCTCAAAAAAAAAAAAAAAAAAAAAAAAAATCCATTTTTCACTCCGGGTTCACCACTTTAAATCCCTTCAAAATTCCCACTGGCAAGATGAAGTACATGCATACACTGCTCTATTCAAATGTATGCACTTAATAACTAGAACCGTATAATTTACACCTTGCTCTCCTCGGCTATGTCATTAGTGTACAACCAATATAAAATGTTTTTCAACAAGTCTGAAATATTGATTTTATAACCTTGATTTTATAACCTATTTCATCCGTACATAAAATATATTCTATTGACCTCTGATATTGTAATCTAAATTGCGCAGCAAACATTACTTTAACATGCTAAGGTTTAAAATTATAGTTGACCTGTTTAAATTGGTTCTAATATTCACATGCAATGCAATGTGTAATACTTTCTCCCGAAATCAATTTCGCATAAACTACCGACATTAATCTAAGATACTGTAAAAACAGTTTTTACGTACGAACATACATATAGGGTATTTTTATAATAAAGATTTAAACTGCCTCGTCTTTTACTTGCATAAGACCTGGTTACATATACATGTATACAAATTTCAACTTTTTACATAGGTTGACTGCCAATCAAACATTCATAGCGTAGTCGTCCGGGCTTTTAAGACATATAAAGGTAAATTTACGTATATACATAGTCTATTGCATCCAATTTAATTTATAAATTTCAGCAGATTGAAAATGACTTACTTTTACAAAATCGGTTGGCTGTGAATAAAATCTACTACCTACAATATTTACAAATTTCAACATATTGAAAATGCCTTACTTTTTACAAATATAGGTTGTGTGTTAACAAAACCCACGCCCACCATAAGCGTAGTCCGTTCTTTTAAAATTCTGTTAAAAATTGATGAATGACCGTGAATTTCAATACATTAATTCGTGAATTCAAATGGGGTCTAACGTCCTACTTTTCTGCACTTGGCTAATAAAGGAGGGGCATACGCTAAGTAGTGTGCTGTGAAGGAAATTTTTGCCCGGACAGCGATGCTATGGCTTACTCTTATTTCGAATTCCAACTGTCAAGGGTTCTTTTATGTGCACGCTAATGTTTTCACTGGACCTCGGTTTTTCGTCCCATTCGAACGACTAGACACTGCCCTTGCCAGGCCCGCCGTCCTGCATCACTGACAGGAGTCGACCACGCCGGAATATCCTGAAGAACTTTCTTGGCCAACAAAGGGAGCAAACCCGAGACTTCCCGTCTTACTCACTGAGCCACAGTGGCCCCGAAATTAATTCGTATAACTAAACAACCTTGGGTTTACGCTTGGCGTGCTCGTAAAGGATCCCATGGCAGTTGGAATTCGATTTAAACAGCGCCGCTGTCCAGCAAAATTTTCCTCATAGAACACTGTATGACGTATGCTCGTCTTCATTGGCCCAGCCCGAGCAGAACAGTAGGTCGTTAAACCCCATGTCATTTCATTACATTTCTGAAACGGGGTTTTCAGGTGCGGTTATCCCTTGTCAGTGGTGCAGGACCACGGGCCTGGCACGGACGGTGTCTAGTCGATCGGGTGGAACAAAAAGCAGTCAAAGCAGGTCCCGTGTACACAATAGCGTGCGCATAAAAGATCACTTAACAGTTCAAATTCGAAAAAATTCGCTGTCCAGACAATATTACCCTCACAGCACACTGTATGGCGTAAGCGATGAACCAATGAGTAAGGCGCTGACTCGCTAGCATGAAGGTCCCTAGAAATGGTTCCACTTCTATCTTTTACTCAAGCCACAGTAAGTGGGCGATTCTAAGGACTTCCTTTGAACCCGGAAGTAAAGCCTGTCAGGGGTTCAACTCCTTAATTTTTGATTAATCTGGTCCGAAAAGCTACTTTCTAGGGTTTAACATGTAATTAATCAATCCACAGTTCTGTACTTTTGTGCAGGTCGATAGATAAATACTCCCTGGATATGAGGACGAGTACGGCAATATAGTTTGATCAACTATCAGTCAGGGGCAATAACTCTGAAAACACCTCTGAGAAAATTCTCGAAATTTATAGGGATCACCTTAACTCGTCTTTAATGGACATTGCAGGATACCTGAACCTGAATATTTTGTGATATATACGGTCAAAAACGTAACTCTGAAGAGTGAGTACAATAAACGATGGACAGACGGACAGATGCGATGACTATATAATACCATATAACATTTCAACGTGTGAATGTATAAAAGATATCTCAGTTTTACATCTCCACCACCATTATAGTAACATAACAAAACATGACAATAACAATTGGGCCCATACAGCAGGTGATACTACGTTTTGAAACATATAGAATAGAGGGGCGTTAAACCCTATTTCATTTCATCTTATTTGTTTTAAAACACGCCCCTTTCATTTCTCTAAATAAACTTTTTTTTAAAATGTACAAGTTTTATTTCCAGGCACTTTTGTCGGATTCCACTTTTCTGGCCGGATTACAACATTTAAAGATACTGATTATAAATATGTCCACAAATAACTCCACGAATTCCATCATTGTGACGACAGATAATCCTAAAAATAAACCAAGCTGTCCACCAATATCCGACAATAAATCTTCAAGCTGAAATAAACAAAATGTAAGAAATAAAGGAGAACTTCCAAATAAAGGAATTTAACGCGGTTCTCAAAGGGGACAGAATTACTAGTCTCAATCCAGTTTCGGGGTTGTTTATTGGAGTTACTTCCCTTTATCCCATTTAGCGTGCATGGAGCTCGTACCTTATGGCCTAGATAGTTTATTATGGGCTTGCTCTGTGAATATACGTCAAAATATTAATGTATATAATATTTGAAGTTAGAAAACATGCCTGCAATAGGCAGATTTAGCCCTTACATAGTGCACCTTTAAACATTTGTCTTACCATGTATGAAGGTGTTGTTGAAATTGTTTCATAATTCAACTTCTGATAATATATGTCCACTTTTAAAACATTATCCCTGAAAAATAAAACCCAAACAAATATAAATTCCGCTTAAAGACGCATTATGGAAGATTAGATAAAGAACTGAAAGTTCGCACTATGATATTTAAAAATAGATAATGTATGTAAAGGGAATATTCTGAAAATTTCAGTCAAATTACTTCATTCTGAGGCGAGGAATCTTCATTTCAATAATACTGTAACCTCGATTAACATTGTTAAAGTTCTTACGATAATAAACAAAGTCTCGACTATACATTTTTACGGTTAATCTACAGCTCTGTTATAATTCTGCAAAGGAAATACCAACGTCCAGAAAAAAAAAAATGGAATTTCTTTTTGTATCTGGAACATACATGAACTATATGAGACTATAACTCTTAAACACTTCAACATTGTGATTAAGGAATTGGTGTGTGGTGTTCAGGATTATTGGTTATAATTTGCAAAGTTAAAAAATAACAAAAAATCACCGAGATGTTAATTACCTTATAAACGTTCTTTGTTCGTCGGCTGTCATGTTGTCCAATTTTGGTTTCAATGACGGATCATTTACTTTGAGTCTATCTATAAGATCTGACTAAATGAAGTGATTAAAAAAAAACTTGTATTATACGTAATATGTATTGATACATTGAAAGTATAAGAGAGAGCGAGAGAGAGAGAGAGAGAGAGAGAGGGGCGGGAGAGGGGGGAAGTGGGGATAACGTTCACTCGACACTTTCAATAATTTGCTTGCGCTTAAAGGCGTTCGGCAGTGGGGGGAAACCGGAGAACACCGAGAAAGTAGACGAGGTTGGACAGGTGTCCCTACTTCTTGTAATTTACCCGTGGGGATCTAAACCACGACACTTGACTCAAAGACCTTATGATCTAACACGCACGCGTTAACGCCCACTAAACACAAACTAGGTCATATTCGGATTAACATATTTTACAACATTATTTGAATAATTTGCTTGCACTTAGGGGTTAGCAGTGTGAAGAATTCAAGGCCTTCAGAGAAAACAACGTCCACTCGACACAAACTAGGTCATTTCAATTTTATTTTAATAATTCGCGTGCGCGTTATAGGGGTCTTTAGCAGTGGGAGGAAACCGGAGGTCCTGGAGAAAACCCACGAGGTTGGACAGGCGACTCTGGTTTTAGTTAATCCAACGATAAGGGAAAGTGTTATCAATAACCATTGCCTTTGTTCCAATTCCACCAGCCATGTACAATACCAATGTTGTCAGGATTTCCCACCAAGACGACGGGCAGCCCTAAAGATGGGGATAGCAACGAAGGTTTGTTGGACTGCCTCAGAAGGTTTTTTAAAATTTCCCGGTGAAATACGCTATTTGGGATATGTCATGGAACATTCCTTATTAGAACGTACTTAAAATTTCTTTCTTTATTTATTTGGCCCTAATAGTCTTCACTAGGAAGACAATCAATACAAAACAGTGAGATTGTGGCTTGTCATTGAGAACATTACATCATTCCCATCTAATCACTTTCTACTAGGGGATCACGGTGGCTAAGTGGGTAAGACGCTGGCACGCTAGCCTGGCGGTCGGGTGTTCGATCCCTGCATTGGGCGAAAAAGTTCATCCAGATTTTCCGGAGGGCCTCTGGCAAGGACAGCTATCTAGTCGTTCGGATGGGACGAAAAACCGAGGTCCCTGTATACACTGGGGTGCATGTAAAAGATCCCTTGACAGTTGGAATTCGATATAAGAGTAGGCGGTAGTGCCGCTGTCCGGGCAAAATGTCCCTCATAGCACGCTGTATGGCGTATGCCCGTCTTCATTAGCCCAGTTCGGAGCAAAACAGTAGGACGTTAAATCCCATTTCATTTTATTTTATTTCATTTCTCCCTGAATAACATAGTAGATCTATGGAAAGCAATAACTATATTTTTTATCGAGGGCTACGTTTCTACAACGATACTAGAGACTTTTGGCAAGCGGATTTATTTTCCATCCGTATCACGTATCCGTATCCGTTGCATCATTGTAGTTTTAGAGTTTTGGCAGATTTTCGCGCCGCGTAAGTATGAGTAGCTGAGCTGAGCTTAGTTTTATTACAGCATGATGGCAGTTATCTACTAAGATCAACATCAATACTAGTCAAGTGCCTGGCCTACAAATTCCTGAAGGGAGCAAACTCGTTAAACGGTCGCTGAGCTATTTACATTTTTTTTAAAATTTAGTGTCGAATCTTGTTAAAAATCTTCGACATCAACAGCAATTTTTGGTTTCACAAATGTATCATTTCAGAAAGTATATACCCCTTTTACAGATTGCACGGTCACACCTCCCTAAATTTAGCACGTAGATCAACCAGCATGCAGTCAGACAGACAGGAAAAATATGAAAATTCCGCGAAAAGCTCATCAAAAAATAATGATTAAATTCCAGTCTTTATCATGGTTAAAATCACATCAAACATACACCTTTGTGTTCTAGGATACACTTAGATTCATAAAAGCGCTATGACACAACATTTCAAGGTCTAAAAGTAGCAAAAAATACGGTAAAAAGACGACGATGTACGGACCTTTTCCGTATGAAAGCTGTTCGATACGTGCTGCAGTATATGTGTGCCGTATCACGTATGAGAAATACACACGCAATGATGACGTCACAAGCAAAATCAATACGGATACGCGATAGGGACCAGCATTTTACGATTGCCAAAAGTCTGTATTCTTGAGTTTTCAAACATAATGAACGAAAATATAATTGATTTTACTTACCATAGCAGGGTTCGTTGGCCACAGGGATGACGAAATTTGAGAATTGTACATCAGTTCTCTATTTAAAAAGACCAAAAGATAACATCATTTAGTTGTGATATATTTGAATGTGCCCACACAATGATGTACGCATTATTCTGAGAGAAAATACTTTATTCTGAGCGAAGTTGTGAATCTTTGAAGTTTTGTCAAGAAATAGCCATAATTAGCAGATGGAAACGACGTATGCAGTTCATATTCTCGATTGTCAAGTACCATTGTCCTCGATTGTCAGTCTATTTTATCAATGGTCACCACCAGCCATAAAGCGTTTAACTCAGATATGGCGAGTGTAGTCCAATCCACTCTGGTTCCCCCTTGTCTGTGATGCAGGACGGAGGGCCTGACAAATACAGCAGTCTAGTCCTTCGGATGAGACGAAAAAACGAGGTCCCATGTATACATTGCAATGCACGTAAAAGATCCCTTGGCAGTTGGAATTCGATATAAGAGTAGGCGATAGTGCACTGTATGGTGTATGCCCGTCTTCATTAGCCCAGTATAGGAGCAGAACAGTAGGACGTTAAAACCCCATTTCATTTCATTTCATTTCCAATCCACTCAACAGCTAAGTCATCCGATGGTCTACAGTGTTAAGAGCTTGTCATGTCAATAATTAAAGGTGTATTATGTAAGAGCTAAATCTGTCTTGTTTGTCTTTATTTTGGCTTCAAATGTTACACACACGATTATTTGGGCATGTCTATAAAATTACCTCTCTAGAGCATCGGGTGATGGGGGTTTGGGATGGTCTAGTGGTCGAGAGTATCGCCGGTCACCTCTAGCTTACGGTTGTGGTTTCGATCCCTCGTGTAAGCATATGTGGCTTGGAGATCGGGGCGTCTTCTAAACCTCGTGGGTTTACTCCGTGTACTCCGGTTTCCCCCCACAGAAAAGACCCATGCGCGTGGGCTAAGGTAATAAAAAGGAAACATAAGACAACTTGTCTGCGATACCACCCTCGGTGGAAGCGGACGTTAAACACTAAGAACAACAACAAGCATCGGATGGCAGATATTTAGGAAGCCCACGAGATTTGAAAATGTACCGATAAAATGGACAAACGAGACTAAGTCTCTTTTACTCACCTACAGCTTGGTTTACAGATATCGGAACATCCCAGATCATTCTTGTTATATCGTCTCTGTATACCCTTAACACACGACGCTGATAATAAAACAAAAAGTCAATAAACATTTCACAGCATATTTCTAAAATGCATATACATCTACATGAAACATATTCTATAAATCTTTTCCAGAAATAGCAAAATAATACGGAATAATTCTAAAGTATTCCTTTATTCTGTTTAATTGCGTCGTCCTGTTCACAGCATAATGCTAAATATATTCTATAAATCTTTTCTATAATTATCAAAATAATTATCTACATGAGGTAGAAACATCTTGGTATTTCATACGAATCAGGGCCGTATGTAGGATTTTAAAAGTGGGGTGCAGCAGAGTGGTGGGGCGCCATAGTCTCCACGTATGTGATATAAGAAAGTGTTTCGATCAGGGCAAACGAACCCATTGGCGTGTGGGCGCCCTTAAAACCGATCGACTGATCAGTGCCTTAAGAGACCGTGTGATCATAATCAAGTGTTTTATTTTATAATTGAAAGATTGTCAAATAATTTTTGTTTTTTTGGATGGGATGGGGGGGGGGCGCAATTTCTCGGGACGCCTTATTTTTCTGGGGGTGCAATGTACCCCCTGCACCCCCGCTAAATACGGCCCTGATACGAATTGGCTTGAAGTTTTTTCGTTTAATCTGCTTAGTGCCATTTCCTGTTCAGGCATTCCGTATCAGAGGTGGGGGGGGGGGGGGCAGACAGGACGACTGCCAATGACATCCATTTAATGAAGCAATTGGAATAAGGTCTTAGGATTAACTGTTTTGAAATGATCGCTGTTAACTTCGTTGTACATGCTGCCCTACTTAATTTGAAATGAAATGGGGTTAAGCGTCCAGCTTGTCTGCGCTGACTGAGCTAACCACTTAATTTAAATTCTCGTCTGTTGTAACATAATGTGTTTAAAATGTCTACCTTTCTCACATTTCTGAGGAACACGTCCTATACTTGAGTTGGAGGGGGGGGGGGCAGGGGGCGGTGTGGGTGGCACTCAATCATGATCATTTGTGTTTAGTCAACGTTACTCCGCCCCTCCCTCTCTTAGGTTACTTTTACTTACTTATATCGGTGTTTGATATATTACAGAACTGTACATCGTCATGCATATCTAGACCAGACTGTAGAGCTATGCCACTACATGGTTGATAAGGATAACAACATCCACAGGTTTTAATTATATTTAACTGTAAACATGTCTTATAACATGCCTGAAATATAGAACAATTACAGAACGATTAAAAATATTAAACAGTAAACACCCGTTATAACGTGTATAACAGTAAACGCGGGCTGTAACATACCAAAATATGGAACTTAACTGGCATAACTGTATACTAAGCAGCAAAAGAAACGTCAGGTTGGTATGTTCCTCTGAATATACGCATTGCATAAAACTTGCCAAATGTTTTTATTGTATATTTGTGACTACATCTCCAACTTTACCTGAGCAATAAGGCTCCTTCCCTAACACGGAATTGAACCCAGGAAATGTTCTCAAAAACGCAACCTGACTTCTGAGAGGGTAATGTGTTCTCCATGATTTTCATGTAACTCATGCTGCACGTGCTGCAACCACACCTGGTTGAATCACTCACACTACAACGTCAGCAGCATGCCACGACTCACGACAGCTCAGAGGAACCAGGCTCTTGGAAGACTCGACGCTGGCCACACTGCCCAAGCCGTTATCAATCACTTCCAGGTCAATGTTCGGACTATCTACAGGCTTCAGCAACGCTTTCTGGCCACCAACACCACGGATGACCCCCCCCCCCCCCGCCCTACGAACTGGTAGACCAAGGGTTACCACAAGGCGACAAGACCGCCATGTTGTGTGACAGCACGTGCAGAATTCCTTCACACAGGTATCTGAGATAGCACGTCAGACAGTGGGAACACACGGAAGACCCATCAGTACCGATAGAGTGCGCCGACGTCTCACCAGAGAGAACATCCATTGCCGTAAACCTTACCGTGGACCGATACTCACCCCTCGCCATCGACGTGAACGTCTACAGTTTGCCCAACAACACCAGAACTGGCGACACAGGCAATGGAGAACTGCTCTGTTCACAGATGAGAGTCGGTATATTGTGTATCAACTGCAGATGGCAGGACCAGAATATGGCGTTGACGTGGCTAGCGTTATTCTGACCAATGTGTCATGGAACAAGACTCATGGAGAGGTCCAAGCATAATGCTTTGGGGTGGAATCGGCCTCAACCAGAGAGTGGGTCCTGTCGTGTTCCAAAATCTTGTTCCAGGGAGAGGAGGCGGGATCACAGCAGTGTGCTACATTTATTAAGCTCTCAGGCCCCAGGTCATACCACATCGAAACAACGTTTGCTAGCATGACAACGCCCGTGCCCACACCGCCAGAGTTACTAGCGACTTTCTACAGCAGAACGGTGTCAAGGTTATGCACTGGTCAGCCCTTAGCCCGGACTTAAACCCGATTGAACATCTTTGGGATGAAATTCAGAGGAGACTTAACGTCGTACCGAGACCATGGATTGCGCCAGGCTTTTCTGAGAGTGTGGTTTCAGATGCCAATGGCGTTAGTCAATCGTCTTGTCCACTCCATGTACAGACTCTGCGCTGCTGTTATTGATACTCGCGGTGGACACACCAGATACTGATGTATAGACTGTGTACAGACTTTAAACCTTCTCGTAATGTCTTGGAATTGTAATTAATTAATCACTAATGTGTCAACATGCTGTTCACAAAAAAGTGCTTTGATCCATTTAGTAAGTCGTTTTCTAGAATGATTTGATTAAAGTGCCTTGCTGATTTTGAAATCGTACTGACGTTTTTCTTGCTGTTTAGTTTATATGACAATAAACACACCTAAACTATACAACTTAATGGGTATAATTGTATATGGCAGTAAACATGACTTATAACGCGACTAAATGTGTACAACTTAATTGATATAATTAAATATGACAATAAATACGACTTATAACACGGTTAAATATATCCAGTTTAATTGTATATGACAATAGACACCACTATAACCCGGCTAGATATCAACAGCTTAATTGACACGACTTATAACGCGATTTAATATAGAACAGTTACAGCATGATCAACATGAATATAACACCAGGGACACATAAATGGACGATAGTTATGCCATCATAAGTTTCTTATAACTAACAGAAAACATGTTTTATTTTAAGAAACGGTGCGGATTGATTTTGTTATATCTTACCTGATCTGTATACTCTATTGGTAAACTCTGTAATTCAGAATAAGCATTAACTTTTCTACCCTCATCTCGACCGTATTTGTGACAAGTTCCATGTGGAGGTTCAGTTCTTTCAACCTGAAGCTAAAATATTATACCAATGTAATAACTAATAAAACTATTTTCTTTTCTTTATATAAACAATATCTTATTCACAGAAAAGATTAAAATAGGTCTATATTATCTCTCTCCTTGGGTAGTATACTTTTAAATAGGTCTATATTATCTTTCTGCTAGGGTGCGTATACTTTTAAATAGGTCTATATTATCTCTCTCCTAGGGTACGTATACTTTTAAATGAATTTATTATTATCTCTCTCCTAGGGTACGCATACTTTTTAGTAGGTCTATATTACCTCTCTCCTAGGGTACGTATACATTTAAATAGGTCTATATTACCTCTCTCCTAGGGTACGTATACTTCTTAATAGGTCTATATTACCTCTCTCCTAGGGTACGTATACTTCTTAATAGGTCTATATTACCTCTCTCCTAGGGTACGTATACTCCTTAGTAGGCCTATATTACCTCTCTCCTAGGGTACGTATACTTTTTAGTAGGTCTATATTACCCCTCTCCTAGGGTACGTATACCTTTTAGTAGGTCTATATTACCCTTCTCCTAGGTTACGTATACATTTAAATAGGTCTATATTACCCCTCTCCTAGGGTACGTATACGTTAAGTAGGTCTATATTCTCTCTCCTAGTGTACGTATACTTTTTAGTAGGTCTATATTACCTCTTTCCTAGGTTACGTATACTTTTTAGTAGGTCTATATTACCTCTCTCCTAGGTTACGTATACGTTTTAGTAGGTCTATATTACCTCTCTCCTAGGTTACGTATACTTTTTAGTAGGTCTATATTACCCCTCGCCTAGGGTACGTATACTTTTTAGTAGGTCTATATAACCTCTCTCCTAAGGTTACGTACACATTTAAATAGGTCTATATTACCCCTCTCCTAGGGTACGTATACCGTTTAGTAGGTCTATATTACCTCTCTCCTAGTTTGCGTATACATTTAAATAGATCTATATTACCTGTCTCCTAGGGTATGTATACTCTTTAGTAGGTCTATATTACCCCTCTCCTAGGGTACGTATACTTTTTAGTAGGTCTATATTACCTCTCCCCAATGGTACGTATACATTTAAATAGGTCTATATTACCTCTCTCCTAGGGTAAGTATACTTTTAAATAGGTCTATACTACCTCTCTCCTAGGGTACGTATACTTTTAAATAGGTCTATACTACCTCTCTCATAGGGTACGTATACTTTTAAAATTAAATGGGGTTTAGAGTTCTAATTGTCTGTATAACCAAGGCGGATGAAGAAAGAAAGACACACGCCTGGTCCTATTTAATGGTTCTTTTGCACGCACGCAGACGTGTACAGTAGATCCAGGTTTTTTGTGCTACCCGAACGACTAGACGTTATTCCGCTAAAGACCCACCACCTTACACGGCCGACAGAGGGGGGAGGGGACCAAGCTGGTTTCTCAGCCAACACAGTGCCTTACCGACTGATAACACATTTCGATCCACGCTTATCCAGTCCTATAAGAAACCACGACGTAACAAAGAACTGTAAATAGTCATTTAATTATAAAGTTTTAGAAATAATTTTACCAATGATAGAGACACGGATGATCTTCTTCCTGGTTCCAAGTCTAAACCGTTATCGGCAGGAAAGGGCATGTAACTCTGGTTATGCATCAATAACTTAATACCAGCAGACGCCGACAGTTCTTTTATATATTCATCATGTTCTATGTACAACTCTAAACTTAAACCTAGAAAAACATACCAGCAAATAAATAAATTTATCCTTCCAGACAAAGAGAGAGAGAGAGAGAGAGAGAGACAGAGAGAGAGAGACAGAGAGAGAGAGAGAGAGCATTGCGGGAGTAACATATGGTATGGTTTGGACTTGCACTACATCCTGGATAAAGTTCACAATCAACAGTGATAGGAAACCGGGGGTGGGGGGGGGGCATAATACCCAAGAGTTTAAGCTGGTGACCCTATTCCTTATCACGTAGTGTGGGACTTAAACCATAGCACTTGACTCATTGACAGATCTTATGATCTACAGCGCAATCATTAGATTATTCGATTTTCAATGGATTGAAACAAGTTCGAGAGTTAATAATTTAATAAAATATGGATTATCGAGACTTTGTTTATTATCGTAAAACAATGGTAGCAATGACAATCGAGACTTCACTTTTCTCCAAACATCCATAACTTCGCGCATAACTTTGACTGAAATGTTCAATATATTCATTGTTCATTATGTAGCAGTTAGTAGCGCACATTGCTCGGTGTCAGCTCTTTATCTAAATCTTACATAATGCACCTTTGATGGTGTACAATAAAGGAATGCCATCGTGAAGCTCTATTAGTAAGTGTAGGGGGACTGCACCACACATAATTTAGACAAAAACAAATATACGGACAAGACATACGCAGAACTCACAAACAAACGCACAATTCAAATAAAGTGAATGAATCCGGGGGCTAGCCGTAAGCGTCCACTGCGCTGTACAGTCCCGGGATGTAGTGACACAGACTTCACTCAAATATATATATTTGTTAATGGTGTACAATAAAGGATAAAATTTGTAAAGCTCTGTGATATATATTTGTTAATGGTGTACAAGAAAGGAATGAATTTGTAAAGCTCTGTAATATATATTTGTTAATGGTGTACAAGAAAGGAATGAATTTGTAAAGCTCTGTGATTTGTTAATGGTGTACATTAAAGGAATGAATTTGTAAATAATGGTGTACAATAAAGAAATGGCATTGTGAAGCTCTATGATACATATTTCATTACATCGCCTTCAAGCGGAAGTAACTTTATGCAAGCCAGAATATACTTGTCGTCATTAATCAGTCTTCAATCATACTAATGGTTGACTATATATATTAATGGATACATTTTAGGACGTTAAACACCATTTCATTTCATTTCTGGGTGATCGAGGAAAATGTGTATGAAAACAAGACTATGATAACTCACCATGTGACGGGCCTGTTTTTGTAATAGTTGCTACAGGTACAACAAGTCCGGTATTAAACGTAAAACAATTACCATACCGAGGATCGGTGAAGAACGAAAAATTCCTAGAAGAGAGAGAGAGAGAAAAAAAAATAGGCCAAGTTTTATAGATGTTTAATTTTCACTTACGAGACCCACCCCCATTCCAACTTCACCCTCACGTCTAGAGGAAGCCGAACATGTGTTTCAAACTCAATTTAGCAAAATCGAGGATGATGACGGGAGAGAGAGAAATGGGGTTTAACGTCCACTCGAAACAAACTAGGTCATTTCGGGACTAACACATGGTTCAATTTTATTTCAATAATTCGCTTGCGCGTAGGGGTCTATAGCAGTGGGAGGAAACCAGAGAACCCGGAGAAAACTCACGGGGTTGGAAAGGCGACTGTACTCCTTGTCACGTACACCCGGGGAATCGAAACCATGCCAGTTGACTCAATGACAGCTCTTATGATACAGCGCGCACGTGCTAACCATTCGGCCATCCAGCCCCCGGGTGATGACGGATGTTTAAGACCACAGTCCATGTAGGAAAGGCTTATGACAGCGCGCAGCCAAATATTACACAGCAAAATAAAAAAAAAGTTTATTAAAGTGTCACATGATATACATTTACATATCATTATTCAATCAAAACCTCGACCGGATGACTAGACTCCAGATCTGTTAAGCCGGTAAATCTGACAATGTTTGCTTTGAATTTTTCAGATGTCATTCATTTGTAGCAAAATGATATTCACGTGTTATAAGGATTCATTTTACTTACTGTGGAGAACAGTGAAATCCCCCATAATCACATGATAACATAGTGGTAGCCAACTGATGACCCATGGCTTCTTTTGTTGTTTTATTCGCTTTACTATAGGCATTTACAAACGCTTCTTCATTTAGTAAAAACTCACTCTTCGTTTCGTAGTAATCAGTACTGTTCAACTTATCAACCCAAGAGGTATCAACAACATTTCCTCCGAGAATATTACCAACACCACCTAAAGTGTTATCAACAGTATCAACAAGTCCATCAAGTAATCCACCGACGCCCTCAAGTAATCCACCGACCAAACCACCTCCACCTAAAAGACCGCCCGGAGCCTTAGTTGTCGTGGTCGTAGTTGTGGTCGCAGGAGTGGTTGTTGGGTTTCTGCTGGCTGTACTCATATCTCCATTTAACTGATAATTTTGCTAGAAAAAACCCCACATATATGGAAATTGAAACATCACAACATTTTGTTAATTACAATACATATAGTTCATAAGTTATGTCAGTGAGTCAAGTGGTATGCTCTCTCTCTCTCGCTCTCTCTCTCTCACTTCAAGGAAGGGTTGATTAAAACTGCCGCGTGTGGGTCTATCTATCCATGTTTGCTTTCCTATCGGTTCTTGCATAAGATTTACTGTTTAGCGTATCTTTGCTTTAGTGTGTTACGTTTAATTTGATCGGGAGCGTCAACCGACAACACTGCAAGAATTGGCCGCGGCACTGCAAAAGGAGTGGGTCAGATTGCCCCAAATCGTGATTGGGCGTTTGATTAAGATCATGCCACGACAAATTGCTGAATGTCTGAGGATTTGTGGAGCAATTACTCATTATTAAGACAAAAATCAAAAACGTCCATTTTCACTTTTGACGGTGTATCTCTTTGCGAGTGAAATGTGGCCGTCAGATAAGCCGCCCATATGAACTGTTTATGTTCATGTGTAGGCAATTGGCCTGTTATTAACATACATTGGTTACCTCTAATAAAAACAGCAGTGCATTTCCGCAGTTTTATATTGTTTCTGAATATCCCCTACTTTTTTTTGAAGAGTATATATAGACGGATTACATACCACAAAGAGAGCGTGAAGTTCTGGATTAAGATGAGCCGCACTGAGTCGTATTGGATTTAGATTACAGAAAGTTACAGCGGGGAATATAATAGTCGAGTTATAAGATACAGTAATACCAGTTGCTGTTTCATTACTGTAATATTTCATTATTATTTCATAACACTGCCATCCTGTCATTCCTGAAATAATACAAGATAATTACAATCAACCACAGCAATATCATTTTAAATAAAGCTATTGCACCCCCCCCCCCCACACACACACACACTCATATGACCAAATGTTTTCCATTGCCAGTGGAGCGAGAGGGAGGGTCTGGCAAGAAACAGCGTCTAGTCCTTCGACCAGGACGAAAACCGAGCTCCCATGTACACGTTAGCATGTACGTAAACGAATCCTTAACTGTTGGAATTTAAATTGAGGCTACACCAAAGCTTCAATTTCTGCCGTAGCACACTGCATGACGACATGCACGATCATGCAACGAATAGTGTCTAGTCGTTCGGATGGCACGAAAAAACGAAGTCAAGTCTACACGTTGGCGTGCACTCAAAAGAACTCATGATGGTTGGGATTTGTCAAAAATGTAGTGCGCGGTGCCCCTCTCCGGGGCAAAATTTCAGCCTTGTACGTTACAAGGAGTTTGGTCGCCTGTCCAACCTCGTGGGTTTGCTCCGGGTTTAATCCGATTGAATCCAAGTCGGTGGATTAGTTACCGTTGATAATTAATATTGTGTGTTTAATTAAAAGTTTAATGATCCGATTGAATTAAAGTCGGTGGATTAATTACCGTTGATAATTTAATATTGTCTGCTTAATTAAAAGTTAAACGATCAAGGACATTCTATGTCGTGAATATTAAATATTGTCAGAATAATAGACAAAAGAGGTCGGCGACCTTAATATGCTGTTCAATAATGTCCTTATCAAGGTCATAAACAAAATATATTTTGTGAATTTAATTAACAGTATTGACATTTCTCTTGATAATTCATAGTCATGGTTAATCCTTTAATCCATACATTTGCAGACAGAACAAAGCTTTCTAATTAAAAGCGGAATCATGCGGCATGTTTTGTAATTAGCCCTTGTTAATATTAACCAATGTGTTTCCACTCAGTGGTCAGTTAAAAACCTCTTTCTGATTAGATTAGAAATTGAATGGAAGCAATAATCGAACACTTATGTCAGGTCTTGTACATAAAACGTTTTTCAGATTCATTCATTCATTAACGAATAAATAAATAAATACATATAGAGACAAGGTGTAAATGTGCGTGTCAAAATCAACTGCAGATATAGTTTTGTTGTCCACAGATATTCATTGCTATGATAAAATCAAAAACATGCGGATAAAACACTTCATACAACACATTAATTCTCTTGATGGTCATACCGCCATAGAGGGCGATGTACTGTTCATCCCAATCTGACGCGGTACCCAGTTTGACTCGGCGTCTTATTTTGTCGGTTAAGGGGGCTACAGTGGTTCGGTGCGTAAGGTGTTGCCTCGCTAACCACTGGGTCTAGGGTTAGCGCCCGGTTTAATTCTAGAAAGCTACTCTTGATTTCAAGAGGCGCTTCTCCTTTGTTAGTGGTCCAAAATAGAGAGGCTGGCAATGAACAGTGTCTAGTCTTCTGTATGACATGGAAAACTGAGATGTCGTGTACACGTTGATGTGCACGTAAAAGAACCTTTGGAATTTGACATAAGAATAGGTCGTAGCACTGATTTCCCGGCAAAGTTTTCGTCATAGCACACTGCATTGTGTATACCCGTCAGCATTAGCCGTGTTGGTTCAGTAAAGTAGGGCGCGAAACCCCATTGAACTATTAACTTGTGCAGTATCTATTGCAATCGTGTTTCCAATAGGAACTGTAACCCAAGGGTAACTCATCTTAGTTTTGTTCTTCTTCATAAGGGCGACCATTTTCGAAAAGAAGCCCAAGGCTCCGTCAATTCAAGTATGATCGACATGAAACTTGGCATGCTGTTTTTGGAACATTGCGCACCGATTGTCGTTCCCTTATCCATATTATTTTAACAATCGGCAAAATCTCCAATGTTCTCACGTATTTTCAAATTGTGTTCCAAGAACAGTATGTTGATGTACGAAACTCAATATTCAAGAAAAGAAGAAATAAAGAACTTACCAAATCCACCGAGAACTAGAAGAATCCATAGGAATCTCTTAAAACAACTTCTAGCTCTGTAGATATTTGGTACCCCACCACAACTGCTGTTCTCAATAAAATCACCACCACGTTTGGAGAAGGTATTCTCCGCTGGAGTTCCACAACAACACCCTCCTTTCATTGTTTTAATTCTGACTGAAATTATATTGCGGATACTTTCAAGCGATATTGTCTTCTATATTATTTGTCTTAACAAATTATGATGTCTTCTTGTAATATACTCTTAAAAAAAGAAACGCACAGCCCATTTTCATCGTTTTCTTTTATTTGCACGGGGTCGTTGTTTCCATAAATCTTACTTCTTTTCAATGTCATTATGTAAGGATAAAGGAAATTCATGATTGGTTTTAAATGTAGGGTCACTTATTGTGACTGGTCATCATTTTTGCCAAGATTTGTTTTCGTTTCATTGCACCAAGATACACGCCTTTAATCACTTCGCAAGCTTTTCGCATGAAACGCAAATCTAAGGCCTTTAAAATCCCGGGGTTCTCGGTTTCAAAATCAGTTGCACATCTAAACACTCAACGAGCCAAGTGATGCCACATCTGAAGAAAGACTAACGCAAAAACGCTATGGGTCGGTTACAAGCAAATAAATCCCTTATAGATGTGTTTAGGATGCTGAATGTTTCCCAGAGCACCACTTCTCGCCTTTGGGATAGGTACCGACAGCGAAGATCAACACGTGACCGCCAAAGCTCAGGCCAAACAAGATTGACCCTATCTGATCTGGATTGTCACATCTGGTTGCGTCATTTGCGGAAACGGTTCACAACAGCGACCTCTACTGCAGCAGTAATTCCAGGACGGCGTAGGATCTCAGACCAAAGAGTCCGTAAATGCCTACGTAAAACCCGATTTCAAGCCAGACGTCCCGTTTTGAAATACGCAGGTTATGGCCACAGCAACGTACGCTGGAGAATAGTTTGGCTCAGCGAGAAGTCGCGGTACCTGTTGCAACGAGGCGATGGTAGAGCGAGGGTACATCGACGAGGAAATGTCACTATGCGTTTCTTGTTTTGAAGAGTATATATCTCTCCAGGGGTTTAAAATATTTTAGTGGGGCGAATTTCAGTTGAATCCAAATTATATAGAAATATAGACACGAACAAGATTCATCTTTTCATTATCTATCCCAGAAACTATTTAAGTAATTATACAAACAGCGCACTTGTAAAATATTTATTTCAAAAGTAAATTAGACATATTTTGCTTCAACCTGACAAACTATAATGTTTTAGATTAATAGTATAAGGTGATAGTATATACTTTACTTCTCAAAGCGTTTGATATTCACGTTTTTGATGTACGCCATTAAAAGGGCATTTATAAAAGAATTGTCGGGTTGACTGCACATTTTATATATGATTGAATATAAATAATTGTCGGTTTGACGATTTGTCTGTAGTTTATATAAGATTCTATATAAATAATTGTCGGTTCGTCGGTTTGTCTGTACAGTTTATATTAGATCCTATATAAAATAATTGTTGGTTTGACGTGATTTGTCTGTAGAGTTTATGTTAAATTGCATTTACAATTTTTGCTTTGACGTGATTTGTGTGTACAGTTTATGTTAGATTGCATGTACAATATTTGTTGGTTTGAACTTTTATGTTAGATTGCATGTAAAACAATTGTTGGTTTGACTGTACAGTTTCCATTAAATTGTATATATGTAAAATCTGACATAGATCTGTTATTATATCGCCGATGTGTTAAAGATTCATTACGATACACACCTGGCCTTTACACGTTAAAACGAAATTATATACGCAGATGATTTAATTTGGTTTAATTTATATATACGTATAAACGCGAGGAAAGTTTTTGATTCGATCTAACAACTGTATTCTGCGGGTAAAGCAAAATTTTTCTAAGATTTAAAATTGATTTAACTTTTATTGCAAGTTAAACTGTAAAGTCTACCGTAGGAATGATAAATCTATCGATTACACATAAAGTCTACCGTAGGAATGATAATCTACCAATTACACATAAAGTCTATAATAGGAATTACAATCTACCAATTACATGAAAAGTCTAAAATAGGAATTACAAATCTACCAATTACATGTAAAGTCTAAAGTAGGAATTAAAATCTACCAATTACATGTAAAGTCTAAAGTAGGAATTACAATCTACCAATTACATGTAAAGTCTAAAGTAGGAATTACAATCTACCAATTACATGTAACGTCTAAAGTAGGAATTAAAATCTATCGTGGAATTAAAGTCTACCGTAAGATTTAAAATCTATCGTGGAATTAAAGTGTACCATAGAAATTACAATCTACCAATTACATTTAAAGTCTAAAGCAGGAATTACAATCTACCAATTACATGTAAAGTCTAAAGTAGGAATTACAAGTGGAATTAAAGTCTACCATAGGAATTACAATCTACCAATTACATGTAAAGTCTACCATGTACTTACATGTAAAAATCAAAGTAGGAATTAAAGTCTACCGTGGAAATTAAAGTCTACCGGGGGAATTAGAATCTACCAATTACATATAAAATCATTCGCAATAATTAAAGTCTATTGCACGAATTAAAATCTACCGTAGGAATTACAATATAACTGTAGGAATTTAATATCTACCGTATGAAATAGAGTCTATTGTGGGAATTAAAATGTGCCAACTATATATAAAATCTATCGTGAGAATCTATAGCAGGAATTAAAATCTACTATCTACAGCACGAATTAAAAACTACCGTAGGAATTTAAAATCTATCGTAGGAATTCAAATCTATTGTAGAAATTAAAATCTACCAATGTAAAATATATCGTAGGAATCTATAGCAGGAAATCAATTCAACCATAGGAGGTCTTGGAATCGCCTCTGATGTTAGCCTAGAACTTTTTGGGGGATTTTCCGGTGTTGGTCTTGTCAGTGGTGAAGGGCCGTTGACCTTTCATGGAACAGTTTTTAATCGTTCGGATGGGACGAAAATCCATAATTTCGTTTACACATTGGCATACATATAAAATAACCCTTGATAGCTGGAATTCGCAATAATATTAGAGAGTAGCGCCACTGCCCGGGGAAAATTTCCCTTGCAGCACACTTTTTGGCGTATGCCCGTCTTTATTAGTCCAGTTGAAATAAGAGTAGGTCATAGTTTCGCTGTCCGGGCAATATTTAACTCATAGCACACGTTGTCATCAGTGCTGTCGGTGCAGAAAAGTATGGTTCTAAACCCCATTTCATTACATTGTTGTACAGAGAATACCGAAATACTTACTAATATCATAAATTTTAACTGGTAACTTCTTACTAACGACACAAATAAAAAGGAATCGCGAGTCAAGTTTAAACACCCCTGTTGTTGTTGTTCGTAGTGCTTAACGCCCGCTTCCACCGAGGGTCATATCGAAGACAAATTTGTCTCCACGTTGACGAATCCATATTATATACCTGTCCTATAATTAGATTATTTTACTTCAAAACTATATGAGTATTCTCAATAAATACAATTCTTTAAGAACAATGCCATGAGCTTCTCGCATAATTAAACCAATTGTTCAATCCTGAACTGATCTAGGCAAGCAGTTAATCAACAACGTAAATGTTTAGGGTCTCTTTAGTCTAATTAAATAATAGGCTTAAGGCCAATCCAATGTTTGACAGTTTAATTGAGATTCGGCCATGCCGCTCAGGTTAATCGGTATAGAACCAAACATAAGCCTCGTTAGAAACGGACGTTAAAGATGCATTATTCAAGAGTGAAATCTGGCCATTGCAGGTCATTCTTTAGGTCTTAGTGTTATATAAATTATTAGACATTTATTAACATGACAAGACCATAATTAACACTCTAGCACATCGAATGGCCCCGATTTTAAGCAGATTAGAATGGATCGGCCATTTAGTGATATAACCTAAAAAAAATGGAGAAACGAGGCTACGACTTGAATAACCAGTACCGGGATTGCGATAATTAACAACCAATGCACACATCTTGTCAAAACTAAAAGCAGTGATAAAGTCGCTGAGAATAAACTAATTTGAATGAAATTTTCTATATCATTTTGTATTATCTATTAATGAATTATTATAGCAAGAATGATCAGTTTATTTAATTCTTACATAATGCATCTTTAAGAACACTCTAACCAACGAACGCGTCATTGTCTGCGATATCATCCTAAATCGAAGCAAAAGTTAAACCCCATAAACAAACGAAATGTAATACGAAAACCTTTTCCATTTTTAAAGTAATTTTCTAAAACCATAAATTTAAATTTGAATATGAGCTTCACTGGAATTATATTCACCATTTCAAAATATTTAAAGACGGATTTTATTCACATCATATATTAATTTATTTAAAGAAAGAAGAAATTAATTTAGTTGATTTTGATTATATCAAGTTTGTTTATTCTGACCAATTTCAGGAACAATTTCCTACACAATATACACGACTTACCCCATGCGAGAAAAATTCTTCCTGTATTCTGACGTCGGAATAGTTCAGTTGGCTTATAACCTCCTCTGAGAAACACGTTTCCTAGACTGTGACAGTCGGAATCGTCAGGTATATTTATAACGACAAGCAAACCTCAAATCAATCGTACACAATAGGATGTATATTAGACGATATACCTGTCTCGAGTCTCTTAATCAATATTTCAGATAATATTGTTAGTAAATATACTTGCTATTACAGACGGTGTATGCATAATATTATATATAACTATATGTAACAGTATATGCATAATATTATATGTAGCTATAAATGAGAGAGAGAGAGAGAGAGAGGGGAGGGAGAGAGAGAGAGTAAAAATGGAGAATCCAGTAGTGGTTACTATAATAAACAATCAATGCACACATCTCGTCAAACTGTAAAAATTGATAACTTCGCTTAGAATAAAGTAATTTGAATGAAAATTTCAATATATTCATCATAACCTATTTTTAAACTTTTATAGCAAGAACGATCAGCTCTTTATCTAAATCTTACATAACATCTACTCAACACAACCTATGCCAATTCGGGATTAGCATAATATGATTAAATTTTATTTCAATAATTCACTTGCGCGTAGGGTGTTGAGCAATGGGAGGAAACCGGCGGGCAGGGAGAGAAAATACACGAGGTTGGACAGGCGATCCCAGTCCTTGT